GGAATGGAGTCGGTTGGTGCATGCGTGTCCGTGCACCACCATTTTGTTCACCGGAAGTTGGGAGAAATGAATCTTAAAAAATTAATTAAAAATATCCTAATTAGTGCACCGCCACAATTTTTATTGGAGAGGGTCCCTCAACCCCTCAGTAACATATTCCAAGCAGAATGGAGTCGGTTAGTGCATGCGTGTCCGTGCACCACCATTTTGTTCACCGGAAGTTGGGAGAGATGAATCTTAAAAAATTCATTAAAAATACCCTAATTAGTGCACCGTCACAATTTTTATTGGAGAGGGTCCCCCAACCCCTCAGTAACATATTCCAAGCGGAATGGAGTCGGTTGATGCATGCGTGTCCGTGCACCCCCACCGCATTCACCGGAAGTTACACAAAATGAATCTTGAAAAATTTATTAAAAATCCCCTAATTGGCGCACCGTCACAATTTTTGTTAGGGAGGGTCCCCCAACCCCTCAGTAACATATTCCAAGCGGTATGAAGTCAGTTGGTGCATGCGTGTCTGTGCACCCCTACCGCATTCACCGGAAGTTAAACAAAATGAATCTTTAAAAATTAATTAAAAATTCCCTAATTAGCGCACCGCGATAATTTTTATTGGGGAGGGTCCCCCAACCCCTCAGTAACATATTCCAAGCGGAATGAAGTCGGTTGGTGCATGCGTGTCCGTGCACCACCATTTTGTTCACCGGAAGTTGGGAGAAATGAATCTTAAAAAATTAATTAAAAATACCCTAATTAGTACACCGTCACAATTTTTGCTGGAGAGGGTCCCCCAACCACTCAGTAACATATTCCAAGCGGAATGGAGTTGGTGCATGCGTGTCCGTGAACCACCATTTTGTTCACCGGAAGTTGGAAGAAATGAATCTTCAAAAATTAATTAAAAATATCCTAATTAGTGCACCGCCACAATTTTTGTTGGAGAGGATCCCTCAACCCCTCAGTAATATATTCTAAGCGGAATGGAGTCGGTTGGTGCATGCGTATCCGTGCACCACCATTTTGTTCACCGGAAGTTGGGAGAAATGAATCTTAAAAAATTAATTAAAAATATCCTAATTAGTGCACCGTCACAATTTTCATTGGAGAGGATCCCCCAACCCCTCAGTAATATATTTCAAGCGAAATGGAGTTGGTTGGTGCATGCGTGTCCGTGCACCACCATTTTGTTCACCGGAAGTTGGGAGAAATGAATCTTAAAAAATTAATTAAAAATATCCTAATTAGTGCACCGTCACAATTTTCATTGGAGAGGATCCCCCAACCCCTCAGTAATATATTTCAAGCGAAATGGAGTTGGTTGGTGCATGCGTGTCCGTGCACCACCATTTTGTTCACCGGAAGTTGGGAGAAATGAAT